ACTTCAGGTCCTCATTCGGCTGTGACGCTGCTCAGTCTCACAGCTTGGTTGCTTCTCCCAGAATGTCAGCCTTGGTAAAGAGAGTCTTGCATAATATGAAGAAGCCCTCTACTAGGGCATCCTATTTGGCCAAATAGGGTCATTTTTCTGCTTGGATCCTCAGTAAGGACTATGGTCCTGCATACTGCCCTTTGTCTTTAGTGTTCGAGTTTTTGTTATTTCTCAAGTCTAAGGGTTTGGCTAATTCGTCCCTTATGGTGTATTTGGCCACAATTTCTGCATTTCATACACACTGACAATTGTTCAGTGTTTTCACACCCGCTAAGGATATTTTAAAGGGTCCTAACAATTTACATACTCCAATTACACCTATTGTCAATGGTGTTTATAATTGGTGCTGAACCAATTAACAACTTTTCCTTTTGAACTGTTGTCTACATATGATTTGAAATTTCTATGAAAACTGTTTCTTATTGCCATTGCGTTATCTAGGCATGTGAGATTGCCACCCAGGGTGGAGTTTCCATTCTTCCAATTTTTTGAGGCCTTCGGTAAAATTTCTGCTGAAGATTGTCAAAATTTCACTAGGGGCAGTATTTGTCTTTACCTGTGTTTTGTCCCGGCCCCACTTCTACAGATAAGAGAAGGTGGCACACCTTAGAAGTCAAAAGGTTACTTTTTATTTGCACAGAATATGTGCCTTCAGATGTACCTTATGTTTGTCTGCTTTGCGGGCTCCTCAAACGGGAAGCCTGCATCATCACAAACCATTTCTAGATGGATTGTGAATACAATCTCACATGCTTATGATGCTGCCTCCCTCCCATGCCCTTTGCATGTGACTGCACATTCAACAAGGTCAGTGTCATTGTCTACTGCATTGTCTCTCGGAGTTTCTCTGCAGGATATCTGTGCTGCGGCTACATGGTCAGCAGACACTTTTGTAAAACATTTCTCAGTTGACACTGTGTGTACACAGGACACTTCAGTGGGTACAGCTGTTCTTCAATCTGTTAAAATAAAGATGTGTTTGTTCTTTGCTCACCCCGCTTCTGATTCTTGGTATGCTTTCTAATCTCCCACGTGGGACTGCACCAGACAACGCCAATGAAAACAAGGTTGCACTTACCTAGAACTATTTTTCATTGATTTGTCCTTCTGCAGGCACACATCCCTCTCTCCTGCCCTGTGTGAGTTTAAAAAAAACCTGTTCCTCCGTGGTCGGCTTAGGAGAACTGAGGGAGTGTGGGGAGCCCCTCCCCCAAATCACAACTTTTTGGGCGGGAAACGGTTCATCGATGTCTGGTTGGGAAGGGCTTCTCCCATTCTGTTTCTATGCTATGAAGAATTCTTTTGGTGGCTGGCCTATGGCTCTGCAGATCCCATGTGTGCCTGCACAATGACAACTCGATGAACAACAGTTCCAGGTAAGTGCAACCTTGTTTCTTTCCGTTGAGACAGGAAGGGGCCAGGTTTTTTTAATGGTCAGGGAGAGGTTTTCCTGTGGCCCAAATGTGAACACGGGCGTTCGTGTGTCAAAGAAGAGACCCAAAGGAAAATATAAGACTTTATACCTTAGCAGGAACTTGGGGGAGAGGGAGTGAGTTGAGAGTATAGAAGTAAATTAAGGCTTAGAAAGATGAAAAACTTCATAGATGTAGATACTGAAACAGCTGAAGAGAAGCAGCAGATAGACAGTTGGAGGTACAGCGTGACACTAGGAAAAAATCTGAGGGAGAGAAGTGCTAGTTGGATTTGGACAAACAGCTTTTTTTCCTTTATGTTGATCTGGCAAATATTGATTTAGAGTTATGTATCCTACAATATTTAGACTTAATTCTGTTCCCTTAACAAGAGGAGAAACTTTCTAAAAAATCATATGGCTGTGCTTATTTACAGGTCTGCATTATAAGAAGTTCACATCTGGTAAAACTATGGCAGTTTAAAACATACATTATTTACTTGATAGAACTTGCTGTTTCCAGAAGCATTAGTATTAACGCAGTCATTCCAAGTACTGTTGTCACTGTTTTATTTAGAAATCTAACAAAACCCATAAAAAGTTTTTCAGTAGTTTTTATTTCATCAGAAATTACAGTAAAGATTTTTAGTCTTGCCAGATAAACCCAATGAAAGTATTCTACAAACTTTTTTCCATGTCACATTAGAAATATTAACAGCAAAGTTTAATAGGCAATGGGTTCAAAAGGCATGTTTGGACCAAGTAATGTAATAAAACTGACATGAAGACAAGTTGCAATATTTTATCAAGAAAAATCAATCTGAATGTTAATCGTGCTTTTAATGTTTTATTTTGCCAATAAAATTATATTTCTTGATACAAATAACAATGTTTAACTTTAACAAGTTTATGAAAGAACATCGGATAACAATACAAAATGGCCTCTCCATGGCTAAGAATCCGGTCAATATGAAGAAATTCAGGCTGAGACAGCACCTTTGGTTTTAAATTCAGAAATCACCATTAGTATCTCAAGGACCTTCCTAGATGATGCTTTCTATAAGAAATATCCTAAAGACAAAAAGATGAGACCGCTGCCAGGCAGTATTTTCAGGGAGTAGGCTAGAACAGTATACAGGAATAAATATTTTCCTCAGTTGTAGATAAATACCACAATGTTTTCCTTAAAATAAATGTTTTATTGAGCTCTCTTTCAATTATCTAAGACCCTAGCACTGCAATGAACAAACCTCATGTACACACAGTGCAATGTATAGTTATTAACCAGTGACTAACAAATTCAGTCTCTGCCTTGAACAGAGGAGAGTTATTGCCACATTCCCACTAATGGCTAAATGTCTACTGGTCAGTAGTAACACACTGTACATTTTCTAGGAAGATGTCAGTAGAACAGGAATGTTATTTTACAAAAGCCAGAGTCAATCCATATATATGCAGGAACTACTTTTACTAAAGACAGATTTGAAACAAGAAAAAGAAACAATCAATTACTGAGTTATGGCTTGAAAGGGAACCTATGTTTAATGGCATCCACAGTAACAGAACTATAAAAACATTATTTAGCCACTAAGTGACCCACCACACAGTTGTGCTCCCCTCCCACTTTGTTACATTTGGGAAGAACTGTGGTAACTGAACCATTAATCACAAATATTTGCAAAAGAAATTGAGGACCTGAGGGATAGCTCATACAAGTCTTGTCTTCCTCAGCTAGGGAATGAGAACTAAATTCATTTGAACTTTTAGAAACAAATGGAAAAAAGTAGAATAGTCAAAGCTACTACTACTGATCATAAAACGAAAAAGTACAAAAACGACACAGCATTACATTTGTTCAAGTAATTATAATGAAGCCTTTTCAAAAAATGTTGCAATACCATTCCCATCCAGTTGCTTTAACCTTATCCAGTATTTCCACCTAAATTTTAGTACTGTTGGTTTGAACAGTACAAAAAGTTCCCCAGATTTCCTGGATATTGCCATCAGAGGGCAATTTATTCAACCACAAGTAGTAAATTTCCATTTCATTGCTTTCTCCTATGGGAGACTCTTCTAACCAGGCAGTTATCCTGACTGCAGTCCTGAGCCCAGTTAGGATTTCTTATTCCCACTGAAATTAGCAAATATAAAACAAAGGACTACAGCTAAACTCACTGACAGGGATTTCCATAGACTTTACTGAGTCTGAATTGATACAGGATTTCTACTAATTCAGTTCTGTCTTTCCCTCGAGATTCAGCTATATCAGGAAGATGAGAATATAGCTGTTCTCTTCAGTTGCTCATATCCTAAGTAAACTTTGCGATTTTCAGAGGGGATGATTTGGCAGATTTGGTGAAAGCCTGTCCAAATATGAAATCATGGAATTAGCTTTTTTATCCCATTTAATTTTAAGATGAGTATTTATTGTCATTTCAAATACAATAAAGTCTGCCCTGGCAACACTTGTAGTAAAAGGGTAAACATATATCCCAAAACTCCTCCACATCTAGACTAACCAGTGACTTAAGAGTATTTAACAAAATTGATAATTCTTCTATTCACGCAGGCAGTTCTTCCTTGGCTGGGCAGAAGTAACTTGAGGGGCGTAGGAGACGGAAGGGACCCAACACAATATTTCTGCTTTCAGACACTGAAACAAGCCTTGACTTAACAGAAAAAAGGGTTATCGCAGAAATTGTCTACTTAGGCATTAGAAGAGATCAATGACACATAATTAATATGCACAATTTTGACTCACAGGGAACTAATGCCAAATATGTTACACTTTTGGTGAAAAGTAGGTAAAATTATAGAGAGTGGCATTGAAGACATCCAACATAGTTCAAACTTTTTCAAGCTCTCAGAAGAAATGAGCTTCAGGCATTGATATAGGGCACCTGCCATGAATAACCAATCTAATGAAAAACCATTATTTTATATTTTAATTTCTTTGTAGTGCCTTAAGCAAATCTTGTTAGCTTTTAGCAGATCACTATAGATTTTAGAACAATTCCGATTGCGCCTGTAGCATGGCTTTGCACTTATGGTGTCATTTGTTCTATCATTGCTAATATTTAGCAATGGACAGAAGTCTCAACTATAGACGTGCTAAAAAAGCTCATCAGTTCACAATCAGTAATTTTATATTCAAACTACAGAGAGTAAGAGAAGAATTTTGACTGTCCCATTTTCATTCAATAAAGTCAAAATAAATCTTCCTTCTAACTGGAAGGCACAATTAAAAAAAATACTAAAGAGAAACATTAACAGAATTCCCACTTTGCTTATTTTCTACTGACCTCCCTGGCACCCCACCACCATCGAGTTTAGAAGTGATGAAAAATGGAATAGTCTTCTTGTTTTTACTTAGGTGGTATTTTAATCATAGCAATTGAATAAGAACAAAACCATCAATTTTGTAAACACATACCACAAAGAAGCAAATATGCCTCCCCTTTAATTTTAAAAGGCCAAGGATTTACATATCATTCATACCATAAAAATTAATGTATTTACAAGAAACAATTTAGTTGCTGCACTTTTTAAAAGTCAGTTGAGTCTTTTGCAGAATACAGTCTACAAACTGAAGTACTATATGAAAGGTATAAAAGACTAACATATTTAAACAAGTAACCATAGCCATGATCACTTGCATAGATTAAAAGATTTCCAGAGTGGCAACTTCTCTGGCTTTCAGTCATTTTATGTCTGAAACTAATACCAAGAAGAAACATTGCAGTTCTTTTGACAGTCAATACCATTACTCATATATCTTGGGCTACAAATCTACAATACCAGAGAAATATTGCAGGAAAAGAATGACAAGTCTGGAAACTCTAAGCCACTTGATATTGCAGTTGGGTTCACCAGTCATTACTGCTTGGTGGTCACATATCTTTTCCTAAGTTCCATTAGAACAAAAAGTAACAGACCAGCTCCATTAAACTGCAGAATTTTAAAAAAATAATGCTATGCCCAATACTATTCTACTTGATCTATCAAGTGTATTTTAATTTGGCACATTATAGATGTACAGGTCGAGAAAACAGACTTTACAATTAGAAGCTAACAAACAGAAAATCAAAAAATGTCATGAGAAAATAAAAAGCATTTCCCCCCATGGATAATGCCATTTTCTAATGGATAATGCCATAATATTTCAGTCAGCAACAAAGTACACCAATTACATTTCCTACGATCACTTAACAGCTAGAGTTTTTCCTCCAACATCTTTATTGTGCTGTTACAGTGCCCCATGTATAAATCCGAATATTAAAGGCTAGGAGATCCTGATCGACAATTCTATTTGCTTTCCCCCTTAAAATCAGCCTCATTTCTGTGCAGATAAGTAGGAATCTGTGAGGTCCTGTAAACTCTGGCTGCCTTCCAGCAGCAGTTTGAATCAACTGTCCCTTGCTGGCATCATTCTCCCTTTATTTTACAAGACTGTGTATCAGACTGTCGTATCTCCAAAATCCTTGTTCCAACGAATATAAGCTTCCAGGCTCTGAGGACTGAGACTACGCTTTATTTTCTTCAAGGACTCAGTGAAATCTGACAATCTGATGTTCCTCATCTAAAAGCAAAGAAAGCATTTTACATACATTTCTATATATTGGGCTTGCTTTTCTAGTTATATTTTGACCAAGATGAAATGGAACTTTAAAATATGCTTATTTACCTATGAAGCTCCAAAAAACAAAACAAAACAGTAGAATGAAACTCCCCCCCCAAAAAAAGTAGAATGAAAACCAGCAGAACAAAAGTTAAGCAGAGAGAGAATAATGACAAAATAAATTATATTAGATCTGTTTTCTTATTTCTATATATGGCACTAGGGATGGGCACAAACTGAGAAACAAACTGTGGTTCGAACACAAACCAAGTTGGTTTGTTTGGCTGTGTTGTTCCCGAATCCAAAAGCAAGCCACCTTTTTTCTATGGAGGTTCATTTGGTTCATCAGAGCAATTCGTTCTCCAGATAACCTGACACCAATTCAATCAATTCCTAGGCAACGCTGGGGGTGGACTTGTGGAGAGCCCTAGAAGTACCCATAGAAGTTGTCCATAGCTTGATTGGCAGCTCTGGGAGTCAACCACGGAGCTTCCACTCTGCTCTATGGGAGCAGATTGTGTGTGTATACACGCACACACCACAGACTCAGCTGCTTTCACTTTGTAGCAGGAAGAGAGAGGAGTTAGTTGTTGTGTGAGAGCACATCAGGAAGAATTGCTTGCTGCTGAGTTTTCCTTGGGGCACCTGTTTGGGGGGGCCCTATAACTCAGACATCCCAAATCCAACCTTCACCAAACTTGGAGGGTGGGTGAAGGAGAGCTTGCTGAAGACTCCGTGTGAGTTTGACATCTCTAACTCACAAGGGAGCTGTTCTACCACCTCCCAAACTCATGAACCGAATGAACCACACACTGGTTTGGGAAATGGGAAGTTTGTGAAAGTTCATGGTTCGTGTACTCAAACAAAACATTGAACCACCCCAAACCACCATTTCCCCGGTTCGTGCCCATCCCTATATGGCACTATATATGTGAATTTCAAGGTTGCTCCCAGTTACTTCTTTTCACTACCAACATTTGTTGGCTTGAATGTTGGACATAGGTTTGAAACAAAGACTACAGATACCCAGTAATATCTAAGAGTCAATTTCTTATACATAGTTAAAGTTGCATTCAGATGTCACAAAAACCATGGTTTCTGCAACAATCTCTGGTTAGTTTAGCAGGTATAAGTAACATATGATTGAATCTGTGCATAAATATGGGTAGTCTGTTGCTTGTACCTTCTGAATCCCACCAGCAAGGGCACTGCCATCTCTGTGATCAGACGGTCACAAGAGGCAATGCTACTTAAAGCAGTCTGTGAATTCAGATGTCACAACAAACCACAATTGGTACAAAAATTGCTAAAAGTAACTACAAACCCTTATTTGGCACTAACAAATAAACTTGGACAATCTGCAAAAAGAGCCTTGATTTTTTGCTAAGTCACCCTGAAAGCTCTGGTGCCAGCTAAGTCTGGAACTCCGAGGCTGTTCTTTTCCAGTGAGCTATGATGGATCAAGATGCAAGTACGTGGTTAGTATAGTTACTGATCAGCTCATCTCTGCCACTAACATGGGGCCCTGCCTCCTCTCTGTTGGTTCTCTCTACTGGAAATTGGCTGTGTTTCTGGGCCCCATGTTAGGGGGCAGATATGAGCTGGTCACTACCTAAACTAAGTGGGCGTTGATTAAACAGTCTAATGCTTTTTGCTTTAGCAGAAAGACTTCAGAATTCTAAATCCCCTCCTGAATTTTAGGCCCCAGTGTTGAACATGTAGACTATGTGGTGACACATCCTAAACTGTTTTCATAATAAAGTTTTATACAACATATGAAAAAGACTGACAACTTTTAGAATGTGCTTGTTTTCTCATACTCCCATACTAAATTATAAACATATATTGCAGATTACCTTCCTATTTCAATTAAATATTTTAATAATGTGGTCCACATTATGAAGATAAACAAATAAGACCATTCACTTTGTGAAACACATTGTTCAAACAGGTATGAAAAGTTTAGACAGGATTATTTTTATCTCAGGAGTATTTGAAATACAGGTGTGTCTGGGGACAGCTCAAAGCACTGGCTCCTACATTTATGATACTAAATGGTTTAAAGGCCATGGTATTTGAAAGACTGCTTCTTCCTGTAGTGTCCAGTTAAAATCCTCTTTAGAAGCTCTGCTCTCTGTGCCCCCAGATGCAGAGGTGAGGTGGGTGGCCATCAGGAACAGGGCTTTTTTAGTGGTATCACCTTTGGAATGCCCCTCCTACTTGAGGCTTGCCTGATGCATACCCTACTCTTTAACCATCTGACCAGAACATATTTATTATACCCAGGCTTTCAGCTAAGGAGTTTGATCATGTAAAACTGTTTTTAAAGTCTCCTTCTAGACTGAGGACAGTCTTACAAGGATAATTTTACAGAGCTGAACGGTTTATGCCGGGGCTGGGCTTTTAACTGTTGTTTTATAGGTTGCTAGTTTTCATAGTTCATGCTGTTTTTAGGATTTCAGCATGTGTGCGAGCTGCTATGAACAGGATTCTGTAGAGGCAGCATATAAATTCTCTAAATAAATAAGTATAAATACACAACCTATGCAACAGCTATAGAAAACACAGTTCCCTTCCCCCATTATAAAAACAACCTGTAAAGAGAACTTATAGTATTCTATTTATAAAGGTTATGAAGCAAATAAGACAAAGCAGGGGGAGGGGTTGGGTGGGAGGGATGTCGCAAAACAAATTTAAAAATTCATACCTCACTGGCAGACATATTCTTCACTTGCTCAGGCTTTAGTTCTACAAATTAGAATAAATACAATCAATGAACTTCAAAAGGAAAAAAATCACACCAGAAACTTCAGTATTAGCACCCTCAATTACTTTAAGAAGGCAACACCAGTAGTGGTAAAGTTCCCATCAGTTTTCAGTTATCTAGGACAGCATGTAAAATTATTGTTGCAGACTAATAAACAATAAAGGGAGAAATGACTTGGAGAAGTAAAAGCTGTTAAAGTATTTTCTGAGTATTTCAGTACTGGATATTAATCTCAGCTTTGGGAGAGACCCATGCCAGATGTTTATGAACAACTGATTTTTACTGAGGATACGCACACAGTATTTATACTATTGACGAGGATCCAGAGAGGCACATATGCACACAATGTGCTTCCACATGATTCTTCATTCTACCTGCAGCCACTCCAGCCACACTACTTCAATGGGCTGGATGGCATTATATTGGATGCCCACAAAGATCACCACTCCCACCGCTTTTAGATTCCAACAACTTTATATAGCTATTTTAAGCCAAATTTCCAAAATCCCTTGTTAGTTTACTTTGAATCCTCAAACTGTCAGGTAAGCACCAGCTAAAATATCATTTATTTATTCTGCTTGAAAATCTAACCTTAAAGTGTATTTTGAGTGCTCATTTGCATTATTTTAAGTGACAAACTTAAAACTGGATCTTTCTTTTTGACTGAATAGCCTAGTGATGTTTACAGAAATGAATGTACTTTGTTGATTCAACACTGCATCCACTACACCTGCTAGGAGAACAGCAAGCTGATTTCTGTCACAGATGGTGAGGTAAGAATATGCTTGCATGATCACAGTTCACTCTACATTGGGAAGTCTCCAAATGTAATCAGGTTATTAGCAGTAAACTGCAAGGATCACATGATACCAACTCTGAAAACACTGCTTTAATTGCATTTTTTTTGGGGGGGGGGTCTAGCCACCTTACATTTGTTATTTTTTCCTTAACAGCTAATGATGCTTACCTCTAATAGGGCCAAGAGCTGCATCTTTTGCTAATGCTGTTAAGTCACTCCCCGAGTATCCTTCTGCCATTCTTTATAAAGAGGAAAAATGAACACTGGGTTTCAGAATTTAATAATTAAGTGTTGTATTGAATGTTTTACAGTCCATCTTACAAATTAAGCTTCAGACATAGCTTTAGAACATCAGTATCATGACAATGGCATGATATGTATATCTTTACACCACTATTTACATTGAAAGCCAGAAAATCAAGCACACACATAAAATACCATTAACATACACTTTTAGAATTCTTGCTAATGAACAATAGCTACAAATAGTGTCCTCTCTAAGCTGAGTTAGTGTGAGCTAGCTCACAGTTTTTTAGCCTCCGGCTCACACATTTTTGTCTCCAGGAAGGATGGCTCCAGAGAAAACTAATTTATGCAGTAGCCAAATCGCGCGCTCACAACTTTAATGCCAGTAGCTCACAAAGTAGAATTTTTGCTCACAAGACTCCACAGCTTTGAGGGAGCATTGGCTACAAATACAGCCAAATATACACCCGTAAGAGTTAATGATAAAAAGTTACTTACCTAGCTAGCTGTGCCAACTCTTTTTGGGTTAATGGATTTCCTTGCTTGCTCAAGAGATTTTTTAGTAAAAGCAATCGTGTCTGTTAAGAAACATTCAGTAGCTGTAAGTCTTGAGATCATAAAATATCCAGTGCCATAATTGGTCTAAAACAGTGATTAACAGCTAATGATGCTTACCTCTAATAGGGCCAAGAGCTGCATCTTTTGCTAATGCTGTTAAGTCACTCCCCGAGTATCCTTCTGCCATTCTTTATAAAGAGGAAAAATGAACACTGGGTTTCAGAATTTAATAATTAAGTGTTGTATTGAATGTTTTACAGTCCATCTTACAAATTAAGCTTCAGACATAGCTTTAGAACATCAGTATCATGACAATGGCATGATATGTATATCTTTACACCTCTACTATTTACATTAAAAGCCAGAAAATCAAGCACACACATAAAATACCATTAACATACACTTTTAGAATTCTTGCTAATGAACAATAGCTACAAATAGTGTCCTCTCTAAGCTGAGTTAGTGTGAGCTAACTCACAGTTTTTTAGCCTCCGGCTCACACATTTTTGTCTCCAGGAAGGATGGCTCCAGAGAAAACTAATTTATGCAGTAGCCAAATCGCGCGCTCACAACTTTAATGCCAGTAGCTCACAAAGTAGAATTTTTGCTCACAAGACTCCACAGCTTTGAGGGAGCAGTGGCTACCAATACAGCCAAATATACACCAGTAAGAGTTAGTGATAAAAAGTTACTTACCTAGCTAGCTGTGCCAGCTCTTTTTGGGTTAATGGATTTCCTTGCTTGCTCAAGAGATTTTTTAGTAAAAGCAATCGTGTCTGTTAAGAAACATTCAGTAGCTGTAAGTCTTGAGATCATAAAATATCCAGTGCCATAATTGGTCTAAAACAGTGAGACAGGAACTAGTATTTTCTAAATGGGAGAATCCTGTCCTTATGAAAAACACTTTACAGGCATCCAAGGAATATAGATGCTGTGTTAGAAAAAACAGCTAAGGAGAACCAAGTCCTGATTCAGGTGTAACGCTGACAGCCCCTTTGGAAAGGCAGAGATATCAGGATGCAGAACTGCCTTGTTCCATGGACTAGTAAATAAAGATGATGGAGTTATAAGTGGTCTGAAGAACATGTGGTTCGAAGGGCAACACTGACAAGACATGTACTACCAGTTCCTGTGGAATGGGTTTAGGAAGTGAATGACAGATTGTGACAGATGGGTGATAACAAGAGCATGATAACACCTGACAGACTCCTGCCGAAAACGCATATGGACATAATGCAGAAGATGCCAGTAAGGGGCAATGGGACTATTGTTCTCAATCACAGCTGTATTCTCTCACTCTCCCAGAGGGAGACAAAAGGACTTGCCACCAGAGAGTCGCTTTGAACTCAGAGGATCAAACACACCCTGCTTATTTCTGGCAGTAAACCAAGTCTCTCTCATATGCTGTTTTCAAAGGCACAGGAGGCCTGAATCATGGCCCTCAACTGGTGACATTCACCCTCCCCCACGCTTGTTAAAAGTTGCCTGCTGTGCCATAAATGTGCAGTATTGCAGAAGGATGAAGTAAAATTGGGCTACACCCAGCAAACCAAAAAGGCAAAAAATGCCAGGTAATATGTGATTGGTATATTATCACTCAAAGCTGCTACATTTTTTGCCATGCAGGCTTCGCCAGGGGGATCAGAGAATTCACCTCACGCTGGACCTGTTCAACAACAATGAAATTAAATTAAATCCAGCAGTAGGTGAATTCTCTGATCCCCCTGATGAAGCCTGCACAATGAAACGCATAGGGGCTTTGTATGATAATAAGCGAGTCACCTATCACCTGGCATTTTTTTCCCTTTCTGGTTTACTGTACTGTAGAAGGACAAGTTTGATGGATGGTGGCATTCACAGAGCAGAAAAGATTTAATGCAGAACTAGCTGCCAGTGAAGAAGTCTCTGAGGACAGTGTGTTCTATCAATGCTGCTGCAGTCAAAAGAAAGCTGAGCAGGAAACTGTCTCCCCTGTACCTTAGGCACACACAGTCAAGACTACATGAGGGGGGGAGATTTTTTGCATCTAAAATCTATCTCTTGATGATTGTAGGATGCAGAGACTATGAAGAAGAAAGGCTGAAGATCACTACACTTCTGAAACTTGATCCAGAAATCATTTTTCTGTTTGCACGTTATTACACAAACAGAAGTATAAGAATTGCTAGAAAAACTACCAATTATCACTCAGTGAAAACTCCTGCCCAAACATTTTTTTTAATTTTTATTTTAAACAACAAACATCTTAACAAAACGAATTCCAACATTTTAATGCAAGCTGTTATGATTCTCCTTAGATATTGCTTTCCTGTAGCTAATGCACATATCGTGTTCAACAGAAACTAAGTGAATAAACCCAGGGAAGCTGCAATGCCCAGAATACCTGCCACCTCAAAACAAACAAACAAAAAAATTCCAGCATTCAAAATGAACAGTGTGACTTTGCTTAACTTGGTTATGCTCCATGTGAATATATTTGTTTCCAATAAATTTAAAATTTTTGGTAGAAAAGGATATAGTAGATTTAATAAGAGCTGCGCAGAGAGAACTGAAATTAGACTCACATGGTTAGATCCAGACTAATGTTTGCATAGGCACAAGGGTTTCTGCCTGCTAAACTTATTCTCCTGCCGTTCCTCTCCCATGGGAACCCAAAATGTCTCTGAAACCCCGGGGAGGGGGAACCTTCTCCTCTAGGAATAAGATTTTAGAGGACATTTTGGGCTGCCATGGGAGGCAGGAAATTTGCACTTCGGACACAGTAATCCTGGTGGTCATATAAACAGTCTAGATCCAAGCCACAAAGAATTACAGGCAGTAACATATAACTAGGGACTCTGGTTTCTCAAAATCTATTCAGATGTCAGCATATGATCAAACTTTTGCTTCTTCAAAGAAACATGAATTTTTTCTAATGAAAGCTGAAAGTCTTAAAGTACAAGAAAATAGATTGTGGAACATAAAAATCTCCTGCTGTGCAACCTCTATATAAATAATGCACATGAAGACATTACATTTGTGGAAAACTATGTGAATCGTAAGCTGCAAATTTAAACCAATAAAATAATCTGGATCCCCATAAGAACTAACAGGAAGGTGCACTAGTAGGTGAGAACGTATTAACAAGCCACGTACCTCTTCATTTGGTAAAGATACATATACCCGCTTGGTGAATCGTCTGAAAAACAGGTATGACAGAAGCTGTAGTAAGAAGATCAAAACACCTTAAAAACCACATCTCAGATGTCAATATCTAAGAGCCGACATCATACTTTCGAAAGAACAGTTGTAGTCAAAGATGGCATTGACAGCGAAATCTTCCCTCTGACAGAAGGTTGTCCATAAATGCAGCACATTTCTTTGCTAAAATATATGCGCCAGAAAACTAGATAACTATTTTAAACTTTGGTTAGTCTAACTCCTGTAAAAATTCAAATTTCTATTCAGTGAAGCCAGTCTATGCTTTTCTCAATAAAAGAATTTTCATAAACGTGTCATGTTTGCATGCACACACACATAAATTGTTTATTAAACATAACATAGCATATACAAAGAGCTGGAAACCAAGACACTCGCGTGCACAAGAAATAGGTTTAAAATAAGCTGATGCAAGCATGTTCTCCCAGTACTACTTATATAGCTAGAGAGATACAAAATTTCTGCAAAATTTGAAGCTACGAGGAAAAGCATTTTTGGAACAAGTTAGTATAACTCTTTTCACTAACCTACACTTATTTTAACATAAAATGAATTTTATATATATCTTAGTATATATAATTGTACTATTTGGTACAATTGTACTATACTTATGAAATCTGACAGAATGTCGGTTTTCTACAAACAAAACTACTAATATACCCTGTTATTGCGAGAGATACCCACAAAGTGCTGCATCCTATATTACCTTAGTATTTGTCTTAAGTTTTTGCTATCGAAGAGGTAGGAAAGAGTTGAAAAAATGTAGTGAAAAAGTCTTAAAGTGACAAGTGGTCACATTTAAACAATAAACATATCCTTGAAAATATGCTGTATGTGTGACAGGTTATTGCATCTTTCAGAGTACCTGAGAACAGCATCATCAAGCTCCTGTGGCCTGTTAGTTGCTCCCATCACAAGTATTCGGTCTTCTCCAGAAGACTGTACCTATTATTTCCATAAATCAGATTTATTACTTCATTTTGAAGCTGAGTTGCAGACAATTAGGAAATAATATTATGATAAACACACTGAACATGCATGCAGGGCAGGGCTGGCTCTATCACAAGGCCAACCTAGGAGGCAGCCTAGGGACGCAGCTGGAAAACAGGGCAGCGGAGAGACTGAGAGCGAGAGAGAGAAACTCGGCAAGACAGCGCGTGAGCCTAACGCGCTTTACAGGTAGCGGCAACAGCACTCCTCAGCCGTGCCAGGCAGAGCCAAGGTGCAGCCTGGGTGACCCGCGGCTGCCGCTTCAACAAGTCCACCCCCGCCTCTGCCTCCTCCACCCCACTCTGCCTTCGAGGACTGGACCGGACAGGGGGGAGGGGAGAGATGCTGGCAGGGGGGGTGAGGGAAAGGAGGGCGCCCACGAGCCCTGAGCGCCGATTAGGCGTGATACACCGCTGTCAGTCTAACTGCCCAGTAAACGCACACATCCCGGTGGTCAATCTGCTTTGCCTCCTTAGAGACGCCTGTTTTTTTTACAGCTCCCCCTCCGCGTCTCTGTGACTGGCAGACCCAATTTGGGGGGGTGGGGGGGATGCCTGGCTGGCTTTGGCTGGAAGACTTGCTGCTCCGGGCCCAGGAAGAGACACTGCCTGGTGTAAACCTTCCCAGCCCGTTTATATTTCGGGTCCCAGGAGAGTTTAAAGCTGGCAGGAAGACTGGGAAGGATGCTGCTCAAGGGACCCCGAGGACGCCTTCTCCGCGGGGAAGGGGGTTCAAACGGCGCTGGGGAGCTGTTTTAACTGTGAAAGTAGACTGTGACGGGCAGCGGAGGGGGGATCATCATGTAGACAAGGAAACCAACAAAGTTAAAAAAACAAAACAAGAAGGCAACTAGCAGCAGGGTTTCTTTACAGGGGGCTGACAACGGAGAAGACCACGTGCTGCATTTGCATTAACTCTGTGTGTGTGTGTGTGTGTGTGTGTGAGTGAGTGTGAAGTGCTTTCAAGTTGCTCCCAACTTTGCATTCTTCCTAAAATGCATTTATGTTTGAAAACTGGTGGGCCCACCGGGGGGTGGGGGGGTGGACGGGACCAGAAGGTATCCTCGCCTAGTGTTCAAAAAAACCTGGGGTCGGCCCTGCACGCATAACTAATAAATCACAGTATAAATTGGGGGGGAAATACCCAACACTACCTTACAGTAAATTATAAACAATACACATGGTATACTTAATGGGTTAAACCTTCACTTATTTAATTTATTGAATGACATTTTTTTTAACAGAAGATTCAAGGTAGACTACAAAAGTAAAAGCCATAAGAACCATTTACTAACTCAAACACTAAAAAATTACTGCAGTTTTCTTTCCATAGAAACGTCCTCCTAAAAAGTTCTGCACATTCTATGAAACAATAATAGTACAGGAGGCTTTCTAATCTTGTTGGACAGCCTATTGCACCAGGCAGTGACCACAAGAGAGAATGCTCTGGTATGGGCAGGTGCTCATCTCATTCATGCGCAGGCCTTGTTCACATGAGCGAAACTATTGCAGCAGTGCAAGAGGTGTTCCTTCATATGTGTGGGTCCAGTCCACAAAGAGCTTAACAGGTAATAACCCTAAACCCAGAAACTAATCTGTAACCAATTATTTGACTGCAGAATACATGTAATATGCCCATTCTCTCTAGTTCCTGATACTAATGAGCTTCAGAGTTCTGTAGCAACTCTGTGGAATTCAAGGGCAGTCCCACAGACAACATGTTATAATCATCTCACTTTGACATTATTATGGTATAGACTGGCTGGCTCAATGTAGGGAGCCGCCCTTCATGCTAAAACGAGATAGAACAAAGCATTTTTTTCACTGCTAAACTAACTCACATCTTGAGCAATAGTACTGGATATAACACCCAGACTCTTAACCAAGTTAGCCTGAGTCAAGCTAAGCCCCATCGCACGTGGAAAGCAACAACACCCTCCAAAACTTCAGCCTTAACAACCAATATCACCTCTGTCATGTCAGGATTAAATTTCACCCTTAATTACTACACTATAGCAGCCAGGCAATGACTGAAGACTGAAACAGCAGCAACAGATGGTCCAGGCAAAAAAAACAGAGCTAGGTATCATCGGCATACTGATGCCACCCAACTTTAAAGCCATGGATGATCTCACCCAACAGCTAACAGCATGGGCAGTAAAGCTGACCAGCTGAAATCGGTAGGATAAGTCCTGCACTGAAGATATCAGCTTCAGCAACACTCAGTCTAATCCATCAGAAAATATTTAAGGTGTTCAAAAGTACACCCCTTAACACCTACTTCTACCTCCAAAATGTCTCAGCAGCATGATATCATCTACCCGATCAAAGGCTGCTGATAAATCCAAGCAACAACAACAAAGCACAGCACACTATATTCAGACAAAGATAATCAACCAAAGACACCAACACTGTCTCCATCCTGTAACCAGGCCTGAAAACAGACTGAAAATGGTCAAGGGCAGATGCATCGTTCAGGAAGACCTGGAGTTGCTCCACCACCACTCTCCCAATTCTCTCACAAAGGCCAGTAATAACTGGCCATTCCATTCAACTCCAGTGTCACCAGACACCTTTACTGCCTGTACTTCAAAAGGGAATTAGATAAGCATATGGAGCAGAGGTCCATCAGTGGCTATTAGCCACAAGGTATAGATAGGGACCAGTGTTCCCTCTAAGCTGAGTTAGTGTGAGCTAGCTCACAATTTTTTGGCCTCTGGCTCACACATTTCTGTCTTAGCTCAGGAAAGATGGCACCAGAGCAAACTAATTTATGCAGTAGCCAAATCTCTTGCTCACAACTTTAATGCCAGTAACTCACAAAGTAAAAATTTTGCTCACAAGACTTCACAGCTTAGAGGGAACATTGACTCTGGGGCAAGTGATGCCCTGTCTTCTTCGTGCTTGGGGGGGGGGGTCAACAGTGGGAGGGCTTCTAATGTCCTGGCCCCACTGGTGGACCTCCCGATGGCACTGGTATTTCTGGCCACTGTGTGATACAGAGTGTTGGGCTGGATGGGCCTTTGGCCTGATCCAACATTGGCATCTCTTATGTTCTTATGTTACTATACTACAAACAGTCAGGTGGTGCAATGATTACACTGGCGGGCTGGGATATGGGAGATGCTGGTTTGAATTCTTGCTCTGCCATGGAAGGTTGTAGGTTGACCCTGGAGGGCCAGTCACAAACTCTCAGCCTTGTCTACCTCACAGGGATAAAATGGGAGAGAGGAAGAAAGAAATGAAAGAGAACAATATAAGCCACTTTGGGTCCCTACTAGGGGAAAAGGCAGGGTATAAATGAAATAAGAGATTTTAATTACCAAAAACTACAGAAATGTCACAGCTAACCACTACCTGAAAGTTTAATGACAGATCTAGGAGTCAGCAATACCTTAGTACTTTGTCCACTATGGGGGACAAAGAGTCAGCACACCTTAAACTAATGAGCCAAACATTAACTAGCTACAGTTAGTACCCACTGAGAGCTTCCAACTAGGATAAACAGAAGTCTAATACTTACACCATCAAACTCTATTAAAAATTCTGTTTTTAGACGTCTGCTGGCATCATGTTCACCTTCTCTTCTTTCACATAAGAGACTATCAACTTCATCTGAAAATTAAGCGGGAACAATATGAAATTTCTGAGCTTCCAAATAAAAATAACTTAAAACATTTGGCATGCAGAATATATACCTAAAGGCATTTTTCCTTCAACAATTTTGTACATGCTACTTCCTTAAACGGCAAAAAAAAAATAAAAAATTAAATGGATGATAACATCAACCATCTTAATTTAAAAGTTAACTTTAAAATCTAAAAGTTAAGTTTAAAAGTTAATTTTCAAATGACCAGAGCAGCTTACAATAGGAATAGTGAAGTCTTACCTATAAAAATTATAGAAGGCTGAAGTTCTCTGGCCACTGCAAAAAGGGCACGCACCAATTTCTCCCCTTCACCAACCTATGAGTATTAAAGTATTTACTTTATTAAATACATAAGTATAAATTTGTTTTTAACAAAAGTTGGCTCTATGTGAAAGACTATTTTAAATTCCATTCCATGAACCCATGACATCAACTCAATGCTACTACATATGATATGCTCTCTGCATTCCTTTACAAAACCCCAGTTTAATGTGTGTCAATGTATTTTTACAAATTCCAGTAAAATAAAGTGTTGGCTTTCTTATGTTTTTCCAAAAACGCAATTGTATATTTTCAAATAATTGTAATTAGGAACTTATATTCAATGTATTGCAAAAACCTGCAGCTGGCTCTAAAGAACCCTCATAGGTTGTATGAACTGAGCAAAATTATTATTCTGTCAACAGGCTGACAATTTTCGTTTTCTGATCTCATCTGGAAGACGACAAAAATACTTCAGATGACAAAAAATGAAGAATGGGAAGACCTGAGAAAATGATGTTTTGAGGTACCAGAGTTGAAGAAAGAGTAAAAGAGGAATACACAAAGATATATTTTTCTTCCATTTCTCCCTTCCCACAAGCAATTTCCCAGCTTAGGATGGTAAGTAAGCAGCAAAAGGGCATAGAAAGATCATGTCTCATCATTGTGCATCCAGGTACTCTTCTCTAGCCTCCCTAAAGGCCAAAGCTACATATTATAACCGGTCAATTTCCCTCAATTTTGAAAAATGAAAAGTAACCACAGGAGGCTGAAATTCTGAGCAGAGAAAAGCAGTCAGGAAGGAAAGAACAGGGGCAGTTTGAACATAAACACTGCACACTTCTTCGCTTATGTCCATTTATTCTTTGCATCTTCCTGGACTGAATCCTCCTGTACCAAATTGAAACCTAGGTTTCCGGTCTCATTAGCAATGCTGATTATCTCCACATCCACTACCCCTCTGCACATCATGCCTGCTATTGCCATTCGGCATCTGAAATCATCTTTATAAAGTTTATATCTCCAGTATCTTGTGTTACATTTTATGGCACACATGGCCTGGCCCGACAAAGTGACATTTATGTCAGATCCGGCCCTCATAATGAATGAGTTCAACACCTCTGTTGTAGGTGTTACCAGGGCATGAACCACAGTGGCACATTTTTCTTGCTCAGGAAATGCCACAGCTGGCTCATCAGCCAAAGCTGGTGGAAGGCGCCCCTCTCCACCACTGCTACCTGTTTACCCAGCAGGAGGCATGGGCACAGCAGCAGCATCATACAACAAACCACATCTTTTAGGATGTGTGTGCAACTCCATTTAGAACAGGAGACACCTCAAATCCCAGACTGGTCCTTCTGGCCACCACTAGCACCTGTTGGGGTTAAGCTTCAGATACACATATGGTTATCCTGCTCAAGTTTGAAGTCCAGGCATGAAGGCAGGAGTCAAGTTACTGCAGCTGGCACCAATAATGTATTATGGGTGTTGTTTCAGCAGAGGCTGAAGGTGAAATGAGGCCTTAAATACACTGCTGACCTGATAAGAATATTGCCAGTTACTAGGAACCCCCCCCCAAAAAAAATCTGGTAGAGCTGCCCAGCCTTGCCCTTGGTTCTTGTGATGGCATGACATCCCTTGCCAGAAAATCCAGAAGTGAGTCCTCTCTAGGAATCACAGGGGACTCTATGGATTTGCCATAGAGTTTCCAGTAATTCCTAGAGAGGTGCAGCATTACTTCAGGGTTTTCCCCTAAAGTAACATCACATCATTGCCACCAGTACTCTCCCCTTCAAGACTTTACCTCCTCAGTTTCTTGCCGTTTGTCAGGCCATACATGTGGGTTGTTCTTTCTCATGTAACCCTGGCAGCTCTACCCCATGCCTAGCAACTCTACTGCCCAGCAATTCCTTCAACAGCTAAATTATGGTTTATAGCTAAGCTGCAGCTGAGTTGCTTAGAGAAAAAAGGCTTGTTAAAGAGCTAAAAAGGGAAGAAAACACTGGAGTACAGCATCCACCATCTTGAAGGTGGCATTAAGCTCTGCCCCCTCCCACTGGCTGCTGGCAGAGCTTTCACACAGAGGCTCTGCCTGCAGCTGGTGTGCCATATCTCCTTTTAAGTCAGGGCAAAGGAAGTGTTTCTTCGCTTGAGCTTAAAAGGAATACTCCAGGTGTCAAGCAAGTTGTGCTCAGAAACAGCCAAATATCTCATGCATACTTTTTACAGCAATTTCTCACTTAGAATGGCAAAAGAGGTAGAGGAGGCAAAAAGTCTCTTCCTCTATTTGCTGATTCTGAAAAAGAAAAGAGTGGAGGTGACTGAGAGATAAGCAGGAATATCTGCTGTTCTTGTCATTCTTCTTGCTTTCCAAAGCCTCTTTGCAGGTCTGAATATCTGCTGTTCTTGCTTTCCAAAGCCTCTTTGCAGGTCATGCAGGTAAAGATGGGTGGTGGTGGTGGTCAGGGGGTACATGAGAAAGAACAAACCACATGCATCATTTGTCATTTCCCCCTGAACTTCTGCCAATATACAACATAAATGGGAAAAGGGAGAGTGGATATGCAGCACCATCATGGCTCAGACCTCCTCTTCTCTTCCAAGGTGATCCAGTGGTAAGCAGCTGCTAATCGAGGATGCGCACACTCATTCTCCTATCATTTCTGGTTTAAAAAGGCTTTGCCAGTTTTGTAGCAGAAGCAACAGTGGGACAGAATGAATACAAAAATCAACAATCTCCCAAGGAAGAACTAATTATCCAAATGTCTTAGCAGAAACAGTATCCAGCTTGCAAGGTTTGTGAAGGGCAAATCTATTGCTATGACACTTTGCCTCCTTAGCCCTCTTCTTTAACTAAAAGAGTGAGAGCTCAAAACAGCACACATGGGCTACTTCCAAGTTTTAAGTATTTATGTAGCATGAAGCTGATTATTACTTTCAAAATAAAAAAAATAATGAAGTGGGTACTTGGGTGAATTAAGAGATGGTCCACGTGTTTTAGTCTTCATTGAACTGTGTGCTTTAAGGTGTTTTTCCTGAATGGCTACTGTCTCCAAAGCAGCTCACATTGAAGACAGACTTGCACATTCATTGTATTTTCTTCCATACCTCATCATCTTTCCATTTGGCTCCAACAGGCCTTTATTTAAGGACCCAGAATTATTTGCTGTTATTTCTGTTTACAAAGCCCCAGACCCCCAGGGCTGCAGCTATGGAGAGCAAACTCAAAGCAAAGCCAGAAGCAGCAACTCTAGTATTAAAGGAAGGCAACAATTTCTACTGCAGAAGCCTCGTGCAAATATTCCTCCAGCAGAACACACTAAATCAAGCGCTCCCGGGATGTTTTCTAAAGCGCACAGGCAGAATAAGGAATTAACTTACATATTTTGATGTCAGACTAGCTGCACTTATATTAAAAAACGTTGCGTTCGATTCTGCAGCCACTGCTTTCGCCTGAAAAGAGAAAAAAGGCCAAACTGGAACAACACTGTCCTACAGTTCACAGTATGCTTTCTTGAAATATGTAACACTGAACAGTAGAGTGTCATTAAAGAAAATTCAAAATATTGCTACATTGTTGACACAATATATTATTTCATTGCAGGTAGTATGAAACTAAATTTGAAGGCATTCCATTTCTCAAAACTGTAAACAATATCCACAAAGAACTAAGCACAGGAATTTTTTCAACAACTGTTTAAAGGCCTATTTTTCTCTAAAGCATGTTCCACAACATCCTCTCTTTTATCATAACTGAGAACACGAGTTTATGAAGGGAGGGGTTCCATTTCACTTTCTAGTTGTTTTATTATTTCAGGAAACTAATTTAACAGGAAACTTTGCTATCGCTGACTTGCAAAGTATTATCAAAAGCACCTCAGTACAATATTTTGTGCAAGTGCCTTTTCAACATGGCCAAATGCCTACGGAAAACATTTTCATGAAGTTATGTAGCTCATTTCCAATATAAGGGAAAGAAAAAAGCTGCATAGTAACATCATGTGAATTAACTTCCCAAGTCCTAAATGCCAGAAAGAAATGTACGAACACTGTGCTCCAGAAGCACACGGTTACTTTTTCTCCTCTGAATACCATATGCAGCTTTAGACATGCAGAAGTAAACCTCACCCTTCCTTTCTATTTCAGACAATTCTGGGGGCTAAAAAAAGATTTGCTTGATTCACCAATGGCTACCAATGTGCTTTCACAAAAATTTACAGTAAACACATGAAGAGCTCTCATAACAAGACATGGTGAAGCTCACACATAACATGTTTCCAGTGAGGGTTAACTGTCCAACAATAAAATATGCTCCTATTTTAAAGAGAATAGGCAATGTCAATTTTTCACAATGGCATAAAACAACTGTACAGATTTCCGGGGGGGGGGAGGGGAGTCTTCGCTAAAAATTTGCCACAGAAAAATGGTTCTCTCACCAGCATTGTCTTTCCATTTCCTGGTGGGCCAAACAACAACAATCCACGTGCAGGAGCCCTGAGCCCTGTAAACAACTGAAAGTATGGTAGAATTAAATTATGTTGTCCCACATCATACAAACCGGCAATTTATCAGCATACATTAAATACCCTGATATTTAAGATACAGATTTGGAATGAAGACCATCCAGTCAAACCATCCTAGGACCTTCCTATTCACACTCCAATTATGAAACAGAAGGGGAAGGGGGGAAAAGAGCATATGAGAGATGGCCAATGCAGTCCATATAAAAGAAAAGGAAGGGAAGGACCAACCAAATTTAAGTATTAACACGCTTGGCTCATCTGACAGCCACTGTGTTGTAGTAGTTAGAATATTGGACTAGGATCTACACTCTCGAGGAGGAGTCATTTCAATTAGCAACATGCTGTTAGCTACTACAATGTGAATATACTCTCCCCATTGAATGGTCATAATTACGATCAACCCAAATGGGCAGCAATGGAGAATATTAAGAAAATGACATAGAAAAAAACAAGTTTCTCTGGAAGTAATTTGCCCCAGGCTGTGAATAAACGGTATTGAGATAAACTGAACGGTAATTATTGCAGAACACAAGATTCTCAGGCCTAACATGAAAACAGACAGAAAACAGGTTGCTTACCTCAGGTCTAAGAGATGGAAGAATAACAATTTCTTGCAGTGCCTGCTTTGCTAGCTCCTGCCCAGCGATATCATCAAATTTGACAGATGGCCCACTAACAAATACAGAATACCAATTAGTATAACAATAGACACCTCATTCTTCTACAGTGCAGCTGGATAGTTTCACGCCTCTCAACTCTCCCATTTTTAAGGAATCAAAATCATGAAGTCACCCACAATTTATATTAAAATACTCCAATTCTTGGAACACAGCTTGATGTTTATAGCCCAAAGACGATTCTACTTTAAGCTAACACAGGAAATAGCACTATTACTCTAGAAGAAATCTGGTTAACTTTTCCTACGTAATAATCCAAAGAGTTACTCCTTTTGTGAATGTCCATCTTTTGGCTATATAGTTCTAAGAAAGGCCAACATTGTGAAGATCTTAGCTAACCAAAACTTGGTTTCATGTGAAGAGGCAGGTCATGCAAAAACTGTACTTTTATTTTCTGTGTTCTATACATCCCTATCCCAATACCCTTGTCTTGTTTGTGCTTAGAATAAACATTTTTAAAAACGGATCTATCTTTGTTAAGTTTCCCTTGTTGTGGATGACAGCAGAATGGGGGGATGACATTTATGGAGACAGAGGTGTGTGTGTGTGTGTGTGTGTGGCACCAAGGCTGGGGAAAATCTCTTCCTGCCAGATAGGCCTAGTTTCACAGCCAGAAGTGAAAACATGGGACGTCTTTGATATGTAGTGCCTCTCTATTGGCTGAACAGGTTCTGGTGGGCTGTTGCTCTCCATAAAGAGAAGATTGCTCTACATAAGGAGAACAGAAAACGACCTTTTCCTTCTGTGCACACACATGTGTGTGACTGCGGTGGAAGTATGACCATGCAAAGGACAGCATCTTCTTTACATATACACTCATTTCAATCTCCCAACAGGAAGCGGCGATCAGATGCTCAGGGTTTAGAAGTTCAAGTAGATAGCAATCTTTCTCCCTTTCATTTCTTTTATTGGTCTGCATCTTAGTCCTGAAATCTGTTTTTACTCTAGTTTTGCCAGTAGAATACAGCTTGTTTTACTTGAGAAGAACAATTGCCTTGATTTCCTACCTACCATGGTTCACATTATGAAAGTAGCCAATTTGAATATTTCTCCTGTCAAACGGGGGGGGGGGGGGGGGGGGAACCCCACTGAAGAGGGGGTTGGGGAGCACAGAATTCCTGCCGAGACAAGTGGGTTCTCTAACCAAAATGACTTCATCCCTAGCTTTGGAGCAGGGCTGTGTCTCTCTTGCTCACTCAAGGCCTGTTTGCCTGAGCAGGGAGGGTGGCCTGTTGGGCTTTAGGGCAGAATTGTCACATCCCTCACCGGTCAGCTGCTCAGCACACACTCTAAGAAAAGTTGGGAGTG